ATCTAAATCACTGATAATTTTTGGTTTTCACATTTCCACTGCTTTCTTCAAATTCAACCAAATATTTTCAATTAGAATAAAATCTGGAGACTGAACAGGCCACTCAAGACCATTCTACAATTGATCCCTCAACCAAGCATAAGTATATTTGGATATATACTTTGGGATGGCTGTCCTGCAAGAAAGTCAATTGATCATCAAGCATCAGTCTCTGCCCTGAAGGCATCACAATCTTTGCCAAAACTGCCTTATACTTCAACAGTTCCACTTCCTGCAACAGTAAAACACCCTCATTACAGGACTGGTCCACCTCCATATTTGACCAAATAAGTGATGTTCTCCTGCTTATAATAATCTCTGAATTAAACAAATAAACAATGATTATTTGTTATTAACTGACATCAGCTATACTAAATCTAATGCAAATTAGATAATCATACTGTCAATGCACAGTAATGCCAAGGTCTCTGGAAAGAGGTTTGGTGAAGTGATAATTACATTCTGATTGGTGACATTATAAGTCAGAGTGGTAATATCTTCCACTGGTTGCTGGGCCATGTTGCAGTGGGAAGAAGGAGTTGGATTCCATTTAAACATAATTGAATTTAAAGGCTGCAGTAGCTGAACTCCTGAAGTACTGAGAAGGGCCTGGTCTGGAACATGTAGATGAAGGAACCTTGAAGGTGGAGGTTCTGAAATCTGTGCAGAAGATCCGGACGACCTGGAACACACAGATGAAGGATCCCTGAAGAGAAGATTATGAAGTTGGTACAGAAGGTCCTGAAAAAAGGAGCTCATTAAGCTTGTGGTTGTTGATGCTGTTGCTGTTTCTAAACTCCCCAAATACCTTCTTGCAGAACTTCCTTGTTTCTCTTTTCACAATCTTCCTTAGAGAGAGCTCTTCTAAGAGAGAGAGTTTCTTTTACAACAACAATACAACTTAGAACAACCCACACTTCTTGAGAAAGAGAGAAAGCCTTTGTATTCCACCTGAAGAGAATTGGTGCCTTTCCGATCTAACTTTGTAATTGGCTGATGTTGTCAGAGGTTAATGTAGAGGCTATTTGTTAATTGTTCGTTAATTGCATTTCTTTAGGTTTGTGCGTGGGGTGAGATGGCTAAGCATGTGTCCTTTCTTGGGATTCATCTGTGGTTTTGGAAGCTTTGAGCCATAGGAGTCAACCTCAGTGCAGCGTCTGACTTCTAAAAAGGGTTGTGTTGTTGGCCTTGGCATTTAAAGTTTTCCAGGCTTTGTCTCTGAGCTCCAGCTTTATGGATTTTGCTTTCGTTCTTGTGAATGTTTTGCGGCCAAGGCTTGGTTATCTTCTCAAAGTTGCTTCAACTCTGTTTCGCTCTCAAGTTGTGCTGCAGTCTCTCTCTCCTCCACCCTCTGTATCACAGAAGAGTGAAAGATTGCACAAGCTTTGCTCTGTAAGGGGACGTTTACACGACAAAGTTTTCAGCCAAAAACGGGAAACTTTTTATGCGTTTTGCCTGTTCGTTTACACGACAACAGCGTTTTGGGGACTGAAAACGCATATTTTTGAAAATGGGTTTCAAAGTGCAAGTTTTTGAAAACACCACCATTATCGTTTCCGTGTAAACACCCAAAACGGGAATCTTTGAAAACGGCGACGTCATGTGCGTGCATAGTATGTGTTAGGTATGTAGACATGCGCAGTACGTGTCGATTTTATAGGAAAGTGAGAAAAAACATACAGGTGCATCTCAATAAATTAGAATGTCGTGGGAAAAGTT